TCTTGATGTTCGCAATGGCTACACACGTGTTTTCAAGTTTATTCAGGAGTGTAGGCGTCCGGGCGCTAGCACTGCCGCAAGTAAATAGCAAGTAAGTCTAAATAGCAAAAATATGGTGTTGCTTTATGGCATATAGATACTCCGGTAGACTGGAGAGAAGGGTGGTGAACTGGTGATGCTAATGCATGTATGTGCTCATGTACTCTATCTTAGGCCATGTTTGGTTTCCAGCTCCTAAATCTAGGCAGCTAAACTGCCTCCTAAATTTAAATAAGGCCATGTTTGGTTAGGTGACTAAACATGTTTATAAAGACTAAAACACCCCTCATTAATGCTAACTTGACACCCTTGGTATTTGGCGCCAACGGTGCCGCGCTGCTGGCTCCCGCTAGCACCGCTGCCTCCCGCGTGCAGCCTTGGTGCCAAATGCACGTCTGGCTTGCTGCTCTGCTTGGTTGCACGCTAGCGCCATTCCTTGCAGCTCTGCTTGACTGCTATGGTAGCTGTTTGCCGCAATGTACATTCTCACAAATAATGTTCAAATGGTTTAAAAAACTTCATTATTACAATCCATGGCGCTGCTATGACCTTGCAAACAAATTATTCGCTATCCAATCACGAAATTGATTCATGTTTTCATCTTCGTCTCCAAAACGTGTGGTGCCTCTAGTTGCTTGAGTTGAAGTTCCTTCCTCTATTGGTATATAGTTTTCATCTTGATCACACAAGTCAAATAGGTCATCCATCATACCACTCTGTCTAATGAATTGTGCAGTGCCATGCATGTCATTATTATTTTGCTTTGCTTTGCCATGGGAAAACTAGACAAATTCAACAAAATTCTCCACTTTATCTTTAGGACTCCAAAAGATCTCTCTATAACATTTCTAAGTGAAGAATGTGTATAATTGAACAGCTCTTTTTTACCTCTAGGTGCAGGCCCTTCTCTCCATTCGGGGACATGGTATTTTGTACCTCTGTACGGTGCAAGAAAACCCGGTCGATTTGGGTACCCCGAGTCAACAAGATAAAATTTGTCTACACAACACAATACTTGTGTAAGTAACATGACAAATACTATGACAAAGACAATGAAGAAATGTAAAAGCCCATACATACCTACAGGTGGATGTGGAAACGTGTCACCAAATTTCTCAAGTGCGTCATTGAACACCCTCATATCATGAACTGATCCTGGCCATCTAGCTAGAACAAAAGTAAATCTCATATCAAAGTCGCATACGGCTAACACATTCTGCGTGGTGATTCCTTTCCTTCCTGTGTACTAGACTACCTTCTCAATTGGCATAGTGATAGGTACATGTGTCCCATCTATAGCTCCAATGCATTTATCAAAGTACGAAGCAAACCGAGGAGATTGTAACCTTCTATGAATAGTTAAAAATTGTGGATCATTTGGCCTAATGATATCAATTGCTAGCTTCATCACACTAGACAGTACCTTATCAAACTTATTGCTACATGTCCCTAGTGATCTCTCAAATCTATTATCAGCTTGTCTCATGGACTGAGGGGCACCACACATCCACAAAAACATTGCTAGAGCCTCTATAGAAGTCATTTTTGTAGTGGACTGCATACCATATCTCTCAACTAGCAAAGTGTGAAGGCTATAAAAAACATCGATGCGCATCCTAAACATGTTATAGCATTATGTCCTATGTCCTAGGGTTCTCATAGTCCACTGATATCCAGTTTTAAGTGAGACTCTATAACCAGCCTTGTTCATGAACTTATCACAGTGGTACATACCTAGCAACATCACAACAGTAGCAATCCTTCTCCTCTTCTGCTGACACCTAGCAGCATGCATCATCAAACCAGCTTCCTCATCATTAGTGCAGTCCCCTTCATCATCAACATCTGACCAATCATCATCAGTACTCCACTTGCCATCTGAGTCTTCAGTAAGGGCACCATCATCAGTAGTACTCCACCAATCATCATCAGATCCTACACCAGCATCAGCCACTCCAGCAGCAGCCCCTACACCAGCATCAGAAAGTCCAGCATGATTCACTCCAGCAGCAAATCCCACTTCATATGCTCCCTGGTCATCATAAGAAATAGATATTAAAAGAGCATTGAATGTTGATATGAACAAAAATACTTGGGCAACATCACAACAACATCAACAACAATGGCAGCAACACCCATTACATTGTTCAACAAGCATTACAAGGTCCAAACATAAACCATGGTTCATTACGATTACATAGTTCATCATAAATTTAAGGTCCTAAGCAAAATAAAATTAAGGCTGCCAAACTAGAGACTCTATCTACCAAGTCTTCTGCCATTCTATCCTATCCTCCTCAAGTATTGTGGGAAGCCCTCCTCAGCCATGCCATCCTTTGCTCATTTGTATCAAGGCCACTAAAGACCAACCTGTTGTAGCTACTTCTAAACATCATGGTAGCCACATAGTACTCATTTGAAGCTTTGTCTGCCCCAGCCTCCACAACCAAATTGAGGCACCTAGCAACATCATCAACTCTGGCTTGCTTTGCTTTTGCAGCTTCCCCTCTCTTGCTCTGTGCTATTCGCTCAAATGCATTGACTTCTTTCTCAGCAGCAATCTCCAATCGAGTGACCAACCCCTGCATGATAACATTCACTGGAACTTTTTTGTTCTTGCTAGGACTTGAGGCTGTGTCAGTTGTGCTGCTTGCCCTCTTGCGGGTGTTTGTGATACTTGGTGAACTGGTCTGTAAGCCACAGTCGTCTAGAGTAGCAACACCATCTTCATCATCCTCATCTATCCATGTGTCTTGGTCATGGCATGATAGCTCAGGGATGGTGGCAGTTGAGCCATCAACAACAGTGTTCTGGAAGAGCTCAACCATCTGAGGAAAGAATCTAGGCAACCCATACATGAATTTTCTACATTCTGGCTTCTTCTAAAAAATCATAAGAATCCACTGTTAGCAAAAACCAATATGAAAGTAGAACAAGCAAACAAATTATTAGGCACAAAGATTACCCTGGTATGCCTATCCCACCAAGATAGAGGTGCATCTATCCCTCCGTTTTCTTAGCGGCCAACACCTGTTTGTAGTTGTGTCCACTTGTAGAAACTATACATGGTCTTGAGCTGGCTGAATCTATTCTTCATACATCTAAGATCATGCTTTAGGCCAGTCTGTTGCTCATAGAAATCTCTCAAATTATCATAACCTCTCCTTGTCATTGTCCCCTTACTTGAATTGCCCTTTCTCATTTCATCAACAACAAGACAAGAGAACACAAATGTATTTGCATCGGACCAATTTGCCTTGTCAAACTAGTAGAGAAGCAGATCAGAGAACAAGAGACAAAAATTGAAATAGACCGATATAGACCAAACAAATACACAGTACTACATGAAACATGTACACACTTCAATAACAAACTAAACAGTAGTAGTTCATACAAACTTGTAGATCAAATAAATACAACCCAACACACATCTGTAGATCAAACAGATTAGACAAATAAACACTTGTACATCGAACAAATAAAACCTAACACATCAGATCAATGAAAAGTCTGAGAATCTAGTCAAAAAATAGACATGCAGAACCATAAATAAGACATGCATAACATAAATAATAAACAGAGTAAAGTACGAATCAGATCTGAGAACAAGCTCACCTCAGGCGAGATGTCGTCGTCATCTTCTGGCTCCATCCCTTCAGTTGGAGGATACGAGCTGCCCGAAGCAAGTGTTCCACGCATCCTAGCTGCCCGCGCGTGGGCACGGCTACTGCCGGTTCCCACCCTGGAGCGGCGCACAGCAGCGCGAGAAGCCGGGTGTTTCCCAGATCCGGTCGCTCCTGCGGTCGGCCGAGGAGGAACGAACCCTCTAGGACCGGATCTGGCGCCAATGCGAAGAGGAAGAAGCCCTATACCGCTGGGAGCGAAGTCACCTTGGAGGAGCCCCTAGTAAGAGCCCATGTAGGGGAAGCCAGCGACATCGGTGTTTAGATCCAGCCCCTCCATGCCGCGTCGAGCGGAGGAGCCCGCACCATACGATGGCGCTTGGGAGAAGACGCCGAAGTCGCCGGCGATGGGGGGGGGGGACGACGGACCGGAGCCATTCAGATCCACCGGAGAAGAGGACTACAAGTAATAGTCCGGATATTCGGACCCGTGGCTGTCCATGGCGGAAGCGGTGAGCGGAGGAGCTGCTACGCCGATGAAGGGGTTTGGAGGAGCGGCAGCGGCGTGGAGCGAAGTGGCGGCGGCGGCGGGGAAAGCAGAGGAGAGCGAGCGTGAGAGGGAGAGAGTGAGCGAGCTGAGAGAGTGAGCTGTGAGTGAGGGGGTACCGGTGCGCTTGGACAGGGCGCATTGATGAAGGGCAAGCCCTGTCCAGACGTGGTTTTAGGAGCTGCTAGTAAAGTTTAGGTGACTAGCTGACTAAATAATGTTTAGTCTCTTTTAGTAAAGGTGTTTGACAAAAAAAATTACTAAAAATGATTAAAAGCTACTAAATTTAGGAGGTGCTAGGTAAACCAAACACCCCTTAATTTTTGAGTTCTACCAAACTCAAGTCAATTTGAATTGACTCGTATGAATGGAATGGAATCCCCATATGAATTCTCTAAGACGACAGTACCCCGTGTACTGGACCATACCACGCTAGCCGACTCGGCCACCGTCTGCTGTCTGGCGCTGTCCATGCACATGCTGTGCACACATGTACACCGCTTGGCGCTGGCACGCACCCACGACACAGCTCCCATGAATCTGACAGTCCCGCCTCCGGCCGCGCGTGCTGTGTCAGCCTCCCTCGAGCGGTGTACTCCATGCAAGCATCCACCCGGCCACGTACCCCCTCCCCTCCCCTACGTGTCACCGCTCTCGCCACCTATATGCGGCGGCCTGGCCAGGCCTTTCCACTTCACTACTCCTCTGCCACTTTGCCTGCAAAGCTAGCTCCTTGATCCATCGATCACACTCCACCACCGGCCGCAGCGCGCAAACGACCGGCAGCAGCAATGGCGGATCGCGACCGCAGCGGCATCTACGGGCAGCATCAGGGGGGCGGCCGCCCGATGGGTGAGCAGGTGAAGGGCATGATCCACGACAAGGGGCCCACGGCGTCGCAGGCGCTGACGGTGGCGACGCTGTTCCCGCTGGGCGGGCTGCTCCTGGTGCTGTCGGGGCTGGCGCTGGCGGCCTCCGTGGTGGGGCTGGCGCTGGCCACTCCCGTGTTCCTGCTCTTCAGCCCCGTGCTCGTCCCGGCCGCGCTGCTCATCGGGACGGCCGTGACCGGGTTCCTCACGTCGGGCGCGCTCGGGCTCGGCGGCCTGTCCTCGCTCACGTGCCTCGCCAACACGGCGCGGCAGGCGTTCCAGCGCACCCCGGACTACGTGGAGGAAGCGCGCCGCAGGATGGCGGAGGCCGCGGCGCACGCGGGACAGAAGACCGCGCAGGCAGGGCACGCCATCCAGAGCAGGGCGCAGGAGGTCGCCTCGGGCGGCGGCGGCGGCGCCGGGGGAGGCACCGGTGCTGGCACTGGCGGCGGCGGCAGGGCTTCCTCGTAAGCAAGTCATCCATGGATGCGTGCGTGTCAGTATGAGCGGAGCAGGGTCGTCGTGGAATGCTGTTTTCTGTACGTGGGTGACCGTCTTCTGGTCATCTTCTCCCCGAGTGCGTGTTTACATATCCTGGTGTTCGTCGTACGTGTGTGTGCCGCCCTAGCTAGGCTGGGGTCGGCAGTGTACCGGTGTCTGTCCATCGCCGCTCCGGCCAGTTCGGAGATGTGAATAAGTAGCTAGGGAATAAGTGATGTCTGTCTGGAAGGGAAAGTGTGAGCTTTGCTAGTGTGGCTGGGCTTGTGCATCAGCGGTATGCTCGTCGTCTGCTGTGGAAACCATTGGTGAATGTATTGTCTCTTTGCTGAATAATTTTGTCACATCTATTTGTTTTACAGATGCACTCAAACTAATTTCCAAGTAGTAGATAGGTTAACGCGCTCAGCTGGCCAGATTTACATTTATAATATATACTAGTAGCCACGCATGTCGTAGTTTCTGAATTATTTTGTATCATTTTATTAATGAGATATATGATTTTTTTCCCCTTAAGATATCACTCGAGCAGGCACTCAGGCACTCGCCGTTTAATCATTCGGGCACCGTCACCCCAGTCATTGAATACTTTGGTATGTACTTGGGAACACACCTAGCCATTTAGTCATTTGAATACTTTGGTATGTACTTGGGAACACACCTACTTGAACACTTTTTTTGAAACTTCTACTTGAACACACCTAGCTACGCAGCACTCGGCCGTTTTTAGTCATTTGGGCACAAAGAGTATTTTAGTATCTATTTGAGCACACCTACTAACACTGTTATGTCATTCAACCACTTAGTCACTTGAGCACTTGGTACTTAAGCTCCTTCGGCAATCCAGTGCCTACTTGAGCTCCTTTCGGCCATGGGGTATTCTAATCACTTGAACATGGGCCCTCCGTCGTCAAGCTAATTACTTAAACACGGGGTATTCTAATCACTTAAACATGGTGTATTTGGTTTGATGATTCACTCCATTCTAGATGAGGCGGTGCAATCATGAGTTAATTTCTCGTACTAGTACTAATTATGAGCTTAGGAGGAATGAGACGATGATGCACCAACCCATTTTATTCCACAAACCAAAAAAAGGAGGTGAGGAATGAGTAGATGATAGACTAGACTATTCCTCAAACCAGACACCTAGGTGAGGAATAAGAAATAAGGAGATGATGGACTAGATCATTCTTCAAACCAAACACCCCTTAGTAACTCAGCAATCCAGTACCTACTTGAGCTCCTTCGTCAATCCAATCACTTGAACATTTAGTAACTCAGCCACACATCTAATTGGCCACTCGTTCACTCGATAACTCGGCCTAATCACTCGATCACTTAAGCAATAATTACAATCACTTGACCACTTAAGGAGTGAATCACTCCATCACTTAACCACTCGGTCACTCCAATCACTCGGCCACTTAAGCAATGGATCATTTAATCACTTGACCACTCGGTCATTCAATCCAATCACTCTGCCACATAAGTAATGAGCCATTCAGGCACTTGGCCACTCACTTCATCACACTTGGGCACTCACTCCATCACTTGGTCACCTAATTACTCGGTCACTCTCCTCGTTCACCCAACCTTCCATCACTTGGTCACCTAATTACTCAACCACTCTCCCTCAGTCACACCACCTTACAAGTAGCTCGACTTTTAGCCTCTTGGTTACTCGGCCACCTAGACATTCAAATATTATGTTTATAGTTCTGATAGGTATATTTTAGGGAACTGCATGACAATGTGGTGTATCCAAAGTCCATATACTTTAAAAGTATAGAATAAATATGAAACCCTTCTCAGGATAAGAAAGGAAGACATTACAAGGTAAGCATTAGCTGCATAGTTGAATCACCTTAGAGCATCTCCAAGAGTTCCCAAAACAATCTCCGAATCCGAGGTGACACTGTGGCATACCATCTACAATTACCTGATGCACGTCGCATTCATCCTGTGATCCATGCGTCCCAGTTGAAGCAGCATATGCCTCCTTCAGTGTAGGTGGGAGATGATATCACTTTGGTTCTTGATGATCCTTCCACGGTTGTCCAGTCCATCCATTTTCTCGCTTCACGTATGGAGTATGGTGTATAAGGGGTTTCCTCACTGTCACAAATTTAGGTGTAGTGGTCTGATCACTCACCAACCTTGGTGATACGGTAGGAAGCTCATGATCTCCGGTGGCCATTTCCATCTAGTGCTGCTTGGGGACAAGCAGCTTTTCGAGGGAGGGGCAATGTCAAGGCCACCAAGGAGAAGGCAAGAAGGATCAGGAGTACTATTGCGCGTTTGGCCATAGAGCAAACGGCGTCGGTCAAGGTGGGGTAACGGTGACAGCTAAGCCATAGTGGTGTGAGTTGGTGGTGAGTTAACTGTTGTTATGGTAGGAATCATGTTGGCATATAATGCCTAAGGTCGTTGTGTCTTGTAGTGAAGAATTGAAACTCTGAAACCTCAATGAAATCTGTCTCTGTTCTTCGTCCCCAATCCTGCTTCTCTCCCTAAATCTCCAATTTTGAAGCTATGTGTCCGATTTCTAGCGAAACCGTGATAGGAGGCTAGGAAGCCCAATAGACGTTAATCCAGGTTTGAAATCAGATGTCTTCTGGCGGAGCAAGAAATTTAATTATAAATACATGGGGATCAATAGAAGGTATTGGAGGTTGATGTGGCTTCACGAAATTACAGATAAATATGTAGGTGTAGATATAGATAAAGATAGATACAGATTATGTGCTAATTTGTCAAAAGATGTTAAAAGAAAAAAATGAAAAAGAAAAGGGAAAAAGGATGGTTTAGGCATTTATTTAGTGGCCCATCTAAAAGCCCATTAGTTCGGCCCAAAACCACATCTCGCCACATGTCAGAGATATGGGCCAGGGGTACCTGCACCGCCCATATATATGACCACCACCAAGCTATCGGCCCAGCAGCCGTCAAGGAGGAGGCCCTCAACAGCTGACGCGATCAACCAACGTGGAGATCAAGGCAAACCAAGGCGGGCGTATCTGGACGATAGTTATGATCAATCTGTTGTAACAAACTAGGAACACAATCTGTCTCTGTAACCCTACCTCTCCTGCCTATATAAAGGAGGGTAGAGACCTCGAGCACAGGATCCATCTTCCACCTATTCCATCCACCTCATAGTTAGGAGTAACGCCCCTGTAATTGAGCATACGAATACAAGAGCAGCCGCACCACTGGAGAAGGGTTTAGCGCGCCCCGCGCCCCGAACCAGTATAAATCTCTGTGTCTCATGTGCTACCATCTGATTCCGTCTACGCGATCACGTTGCTGGATATTGTCGGAGCTAAATAATCCGACAGTTGGCGCGCCAGGTAGGGGCCTTTCGTGTTCAGACTAATTTTGTGTTTCAGGTGGGAGTCATCTTCAACATCGGCAATGAACCGGGCCAGGAGCAGCCGGGCAAGAGGATCACCTTTGGCAAGCTTGACTTCATCGCTGACCAATTCAGGGACCTGTGCCTTCAGGAACCTGAGCCGACCGAAGAAGGAGAACAGTCCCTTTAGATCCGTGCTTTCACCGTCGGGCTAGAGGAGGTTATGGACGTCGGACCGAATGCTCTCGCGGTATACCTGAAACGCTACGCTCATCTTTTTGTCGAAGATGGGCGAGAAGGTGAGATCGTTCCCACTTTCCACATAAGCAAAACCACGAATCTCGACTCTGCCTCAGATCCGATATCCATACCTCACCGCCATGCCCCCCAATCTTCGATAAGATCGGGGCGTGCCATGACAACCCATGGCGAGACACTCTCGTAGGCTACGGTGGAACCCACCGAACTTCCCACAGAGGAATACCAGCCGCAGGAACCGACAGTCAAAGACAACATCGGCGGCACCCCCGATCAACAAGGTTGGTGGGACGGCGCCGATGTATCCAGACTCATTGATCAAGAGGCTTTCCACCGTTTTCTCTATAGCTGTGACCAGCTACTCAAGAACTCGAACTCTGATGACGACGACGATGAAGCCATCCCACGTGGGTCGGGCACTAATACTGAATCATCATCGGACAAGCAACCGAAGCTCAGACATTCCCCATCAATGAAAGGGTAAGACCTTTTTGAAAGGTCCTAATGGCTAGAGGGGGGTGAATAGCCTAATAAAAATTTCTACAACAACACTGAACCAAATGGTTAGACAATTATGAGGCGAAGCGAGTGTTGCGCTAGCCTACTCAAAAATGCAAGCCACCTACCACAATTCTAGTTTAGATAGTGTCAATTCACACAAGAGCAATGACACTACCCTATGTTAGTGTGCTCTCAAAGGCTAACTAAAGAGCCACACCAACCAAGCATGCAAGCTCTCACAACTAGCTACACTAAAGAGCTTGTCAACTAGTTTATGTAAAGTAAAGAGAGTGATCAAGAGGGTTATACCGCCGTGTAGATGAATGAACCAATCAATCACGAAGATGAATAACAATGATGACCAATCACCTCGGAATCAAATGATGAACACAATGATTTTTACCGAGGTTCACTTACTTGCTTAAGCAAGCTAGTCCTCGTTGTGGCGATTCACTCACTTGGAGGTTCGCGCTAATTGGCATCACTCGCCAAACCCTCAATAGGGTGCCGCACAACCAACACAAGATGAGGATCACACAAGCCACAAGCAATTTACTAGAGTACCTTTTGGCGCTCCGCCGGGAAAGGTCAAGAACCCTCACAATCACCACGATCGAGTCGGAGACAATCACCTCCTCCACTCAACGATCCTTGCTGCTCCAAGCCGCCTAGGTGGCGGCAACCACCAAGAGTAACAAGAGAAATCCATGATGAAACACAATCACCAAGTGCCTCTAGATGCAATCACTCAAGCAATGCACTTGGATCACTCCCAATCTCAGTATGATGATGAATCAATGATGTAGATGAGTGGGAGTCCTTTGGCTAGGCTCACAAGCTTGCTATGTCAATGAAAATG